AGGTGGGGAAACACCTGGCACAGGTTCTGAGGAGCAGACAACAGGTATCACAGTACTCTTAAACTCTGTTTGGACACTTCTTACCATAATGCACCACAGTATTGTGTCAGCTGTCACTATATAAGGGTTATACGTGTTCACATTATAATTGTACTAGCTCATATTCAACCATGATGTTGGTTGTTCTTTTGATTGACTAGAATACTAGAAAAAAAGAGAACTTGAAATGTGATATGCTATATGAAATGCTATAGTTATTAACCTGAAATATGACTTTATGCTCAGAATAATGCCTCTGTTCAGTAAAAAACGAAAGCAGAAAGCAGCGGACGAAAGCTACTTCAATATTGTTCGTCTCTCCTCTGTTCTGTATTTGAAGGGGAAGCGGCCTGTCAGCCTGATAGGCTTCAGTCTCGGGGCCAGAGTTATCTACTACTGTCTACAGGAGCTTGCCAATGACCAAGGTATAAACAACATTCTGTGCATAATCCATATTTTCATTATGCATTGAAAATAGATACACATCCACATTTCCTTGCACTAACTGTCTACCAAGTTGTTCTTAAAAACAATGTTATCCTTCTTTTGTGTTCAAGCAGAGTATCATTTTTGTTCATTTACAGAAAAAAAGCATTAACAAATAAATACAAGATTAAATCAGAAATAAACAGACTTCAGAAAGGAATACATACGAGAAAAACACACCAAAAATGTGTATTAATTGCCCACTCATTGAACTATGCTTTATGTTAAAAAAATGTAAGCTAATTTTGCACATTTGTTTATTTCTAATGTCTTGCACATATATTTCCTTATTGCTTTACTTTAAAAATAATAATATAAAATGTATTTTCTACCGTGCCTTGTGGACCCCTATGATTTTGAGCATTTAAAAATAACAAGACCATTTTATTTTACTAATATCATGGGCTAACCCCAGTTTCTAAAATAGATTTTAAAACCATTATACATCTGCTCCTTTTTTACAACTGAATTCCTCTAATTGTGTTTATGTATGCACCATTATACACCCAAGCAAATTCCTTGATGTATGAAACTACTACTATAAACCTGATTCTGATTCTTTTGAAACATCTACTACGGGGTCTGTCCTAAATCTACACTTTTAAATGTGATTGTACCTTGTGTCATCAAACCATAATTATCCTAATTTAGTTTTTCTCTTTTTCTGTGTTCTGACAGACCAGTTAAGCCCTGTGTTGTGTTTCCTCAGGAAGTGAAGGAGTAGTGGAGGATGTAGTCCTCTTGGGGGCTCCTGTGGACGGCTCTGAAAAGGCCTGGGAGAGAATCACGAGGGTCGTAGCTGGAAGAATAGTGAACGGCTACTGCAGGTCATTTAAAAAAAAAAAAGCTTTATCCTTCAGCAATCATGTAGTAAAATGTCTCACATTTTACAGTAAAAGCTTCCAGTTGCTTCGTAGTGTTGGTCTACTCGTCAAGTATATTTAAGATTCAGATACTACAGTCTTTGTGATTTTAGTATTTCATGAATAAATGACATTCTGGACAATCCGCCTTTCAGAGGGGACTGGCTCCTGGGGTTCCTGTACCGAAGTTCATCTGCACAACTGTGTGTTGCCGGGCTACAGCCAATCAACATCAAGGATCGGCGCATAATCAATGTGGATCTTTCCTCCATGGTGAGTCAGAGCTTATATTGAAATGAGGCTCCACTAAATGAATAATTCTTTGAAATACATCTCAAGGTTTTCCCCTTAAAAAAAACAATTGACACTAATCAAACTTGAAAATGTAATAAGACACAAGGGCTCCATAACCATTTCTAGAGGTGAAATATTATTACATTCAATTACATTTGAAGTATTATGAATTGTATATTATTTAGCACTTCAAAAGAGACAGTAAGAAGAAAAGAAAGGAACTAAATAAGGCCCCTGCTGGTTTGTTTCAGTTTACAGCAATGCCTTTCTGCCAACCTGTAAATCCTCAAGATTCCACATGAAACTTCAACATGTCAATGCTTTACAAAACATCTGAGGTTTAACCTCTAATTAACCAAACATTTGAAAAGGTGTGGTAAAAAGATGCTTGACAAATCTGAAGCACCATACAATATTTCCCTTGGTAAAGGCGTGTCACCATAAACACATTATCGACTTATTTTATGATATATGGACGTGACATCCATCATTTCCGCTGCCCTGAAATTGCATGTTGTGCTAACATTTTTCTATAGGTAAGAAATTCACCAAGCTTTTAGTCAATTTGATGCCAGAATAAACAGCAGGAGTTTCCTTAGCATTACAAGACTTGGGCCTTGCACACACTTTTGTAAAGAGAGCCCAAAGCTGTGGTTTTATTTATTCTTAAATTGTTCATGATATGTTACAAAGATGTCGCATTCCAATTCAAGAGTTCAAATTAATATTCATAAGAATTAGAAGTGAATTGCTCTTTTATACTGTCATTATATAATTGGGATCAAATGGTCCTAAAATGACAGTTTTTATTTCTATAATATACAATTCAATACAATTAATTATGAGCAATAAGAACAAAATTAAATGTACACTATAATTTACAAAGAAATAGAGTGGTGCAGGAATGAGTCCTAAAACCCGTAAATTCGTTTTTTTAACATGATGTTGTTTAAATGTCTTGAAAAAAATCTGCAGTTAACACAAGCTTAAAATAAGGCAGACACTCGTGAAGGTCTGACGCATCTGAGTCAGAAAAACAAGTGACTTAATTAGACTACTAAATGTCAGCACACAAACATTAGCCACCTTTAGCTTAGCGGTTCTAATGTGCAGCCATGCAACCCTGATATAGTTAGCTAATAGTCTAACTTTAGCTATTTACTGTTTGAAGTAACCCACATTTACATTTCTGAAGCTTTTATGTGTCTTCAAAACAAACATTGTTGACGTAAAAAGACTACAATACGTCATTACAACCCAGTCTCACGGCATTTCGTGTTATAGTCACGAAATTAATGGAATCTATTGATTCGTGTTCACCAACATGATTTTCGCATTTTTTTCGTGTCACACAGAACGATTTTAAAAGCAATGTATTTCTATTGGTTGTATGTTTCGTGCCTGCAACACGTCTTTTTGTCCGGTCGGGTCTTGGAATACCAGAAGCTGTGTGGTTCATAAAAACATTTTCTTACTCAATATCTTACCCTAAGCCTAACCCTATCCCTTTTATTTTAAATTGTATAATGTCTGAGTTTTTTTGCCGTCTGTGAGGAAAATAAATGGCTCAGAGCCTCAGAATACTGAAATCTGTATTTGTTGTCATCTTTTTTTCCTTCTAATTTGTTATTATTTACATTGCTTTTAAAATCGTTCTGTGTAACACGGAAAAAATGGCGAAATCGTGTTGGTGAACACGAATCAATAGATTAATTTTGTGACTATAACACGAAATGCCGTGAGACTGTGTTGGTCATTAGCCAAACATTAGCCACCTTTAGCTTAGCAGTGCTTATGTGAAGCCAGGGGACTGTGATGTTCCTCGTTTATAGCCAAACGTTAGCTTTTTACTTCTGGCGACTGAATTTACGCTTAATCATCATAAAGTGGTGTTAATATGAGAAGATTATTCTGCTGTAACAAACATGTACGAATTTTTTTCCCGCAATACCTACAAGAATTCCAGCGGTTTTTGTTTAGGGAGCCCTTGCGATGCTTATTTCAGAGTTAACTTCCAAAAATACGTCATCATTGCACCACTCTATATTGTCCTCCTTTTAGTCAGAGACAGTAACACCATGTTCCTTCTTCCCAGGTGAAAGGCCACTTGGACTACATGCGTCATATGGACACCATCTTAGTGGCGGTAGGAGTTCCCACCAAAGAAGTGCCTGGAGCCTCCTTTGCTCTTCCTCAGTCTGTAATAATTACAAACGGGACAGTGGTAATCCCTGACCAAACCCTTGACACAAAGACAAAAGACACACAAAAACAAGCTGAGGAGACCTGTGCAGGAAAAAGTGGAGACGTGACAGAGGAACTGGGTGACGGGTGGGATATCCCTGATATTTCAGACCTGCTGGACTCATTAAATGAAACGGAATCAGACGGGAACAATTTACCGCTTACCTCAGAGGAAAATGCAACTGAGGGCGACAAAGGGTCTGCTCTCAATGCCCCTTTGGACGCCGTGGAGGATAATGAACATGTGTCATGGAGCTGGGATGATACACACTGGACTACATAGCACACACACAAACAAAGGCAGCCAGACTTGTAAAGAGCATGTTTGTGGACCGGCTGCTTCCTTGTAAAAATCTCGTCTTCTCAAGTTGTTTTTTTCAGCATCAAAGCTTTGTTGGAGAAAATATTCATCTCATTCTCAACACACTGACATGCCAAGAATGGCTAGAGAGTCAATGCACGCATATGGAAGGCTTGAGTGAATACCCCCTTTGTTTAAGTACAAAATGTTGGACTTACTATTAGTTTAATAACATTTTTTTTTTATGAAGTACATTTTATACAAGCTGTTAATAGTGACATAATTTATTTCTATCTAACTGTGAGATCAAATACTTGCTCTGTGTTTTCGCAGGTTTTTTTAAAAGAATGCTACAAAATGTGATACCTCCATTCCTCTCGTCTATCTAATTATCATCTGTTGCCCGGTTGCTATGGATATTATCACAGTAATTTAATTTCCATAAGGCGGTGGGTAATTCAGTGAATGTGTATTCTTCAAGCCTTTTTTTTCTCTCTGTTCTACCCTTGCCAATGTGAAGTGCTCCTTTCCATAGAGCCTCAGGATTGTATTGTATATACGATATATCTTACTGGAAAATAGTCCCTGAATTTCTTTTTTATTTTACGAAATGCACTTACATTAATTTCTTCAACCATATTTCATTGAACTAGTGAATTTGTCTAGACATTTTTCTGTGAAAATAAAAAAATGATCTTATTTCTTCCCTAGTCTTTTAACTCACACTTTGAGTCTCTCCTGCCACAAAATATTAGCATTCACATATTTGCTATTCAGTCCAGGGTGTCCACCTGATTGGGCAGAAGCAGAGGCAGCTCGATGCCAGCGTGCTCAGCATCCAGCAGGTTGACGGCATCAGTGGCGGTGGCGGGGGGGATCGTGGGGTCAGAGGGCAGAGGGGAGGGCGGGTCGCTGGCGATCATGGGCTCTCCTGAGTTGCGGAGAGACAGGGAGAGCGCTGGCGAGGGTCTTCGGGGCGACTGAGAGGAACAGCAGGGCAGCAGCCTCCCCAGAGCCCGCTTGAAGTCTCTCATGAAGAGCGGGTAGATGATGGGGTTCATCGTGCTGTTGCAGTAACCCAGCCAGGTGATGGCGTCGAAAAGCGCCAGGGGGACACACTCACACACTGCCTGATGAAGAGAGGGGGGGGGGGGGGGGGGGCAGAAGACCAGGCATTAAAGCCTCAGAACATCTTTTTTTGATAGGTGTCAAATAAGGTATTAAAGATCAAATAATAACAATCTCCCTTAAGAGTTTTTTAATAAGTAGCTCTTTTGGGCACAGGAGTAGGTTTCTGTTTATTTGTATTATACATGTGTAAGTGTCCAAAAGGATACAAAAATAGATGTAAACACTGGACAATTTATAGTTTTCAAAACAGTTCTACAAAATTTGTATTCGTTAAAATGCATCCAACATGCATGTTATACCTCAACGATATACTTAGAATATTATATACAAAAGAGAATTACATTGATGCATAAATAAGAACAAAGAAGATATGTATCTATGCATTTTCCATGTATTTATTTATTAATGTACGTTTATTGCTAAATTGATATTCCTTAAAAAAAAGTGCAATAATATTTATTTAATTCCATCGTAAAACTAAGGTTAGTTTACGATAATACTCATAATTAAATAAATACAGGAATAAATCTGAAGATTAAGAAATTGGGTATAGAAATAAATAAATAACAATACTAACCAACAAAAGTGTATTGCTTAAAAGGCAATAAATTATAAATAATCAAATGTGCACAGTGGACTAAGTTAGGACTTTTTGCTGTTGTTCTGTTCAGATTTTATGTAAAGCATTAGGAAAAGCTTATACAAATCTTAAGTATTATTATTTATTTTTTATACCCTTTTTTATTAATTTACTTTCTTTGGCGCAGAGAAATCATCAAAAAGCATGCTACAGTAAATAGAGAAAAGGCAGCTCTGAAATAAATATATTTTAAATATTTTATTTATTCAATTTTCCTTGTGCATTTTGCCCCCATAGGAAACTCGAATAGCCAAAATCATCATCATTAAAAGAAGAACACAGATTTTTCTCCGACTAATCACATGTGGTGTCAATCATTCCTCTTCTCGATAAACATCTAATTTTCCTCGAGTAGAACTTGTAAATACATTTGCTTCTGCCTGGGAAAAAACACTGATCTTGAACATTGCAACTAGATTTAGAGAAGGACAGTGAAGGAGGAGACAGCTGTTAGAGGAGAGCTTCCAATACTATCAAGATGAGACGGGGAGGCGGTGGGAATAGGACGGAAAGGAGGGGTGCGTTTCACACACCACATTGAGTGTGAAAAGGAAGGAGAGCGCAGACACAGTCAAGTCTCTGTGCGCTATGTTATGCAGGGGATAAGCGAGAGGGCACAGATGGGAAATCCAAATGACTGGATCATTGAAAGCTTGAAAAACAGGACAAGTGTCATTACCAATTTAGATTAAGCTGTTTTTCGACATTGATTTCATCCCGCATCGTTTTTCAATGGCCTCTAATGTTTGTCCGCTGACTAATGAGTGAATCTAATCAAAATCAACAACTTAAAAATAAATGGTGCTGTGCTGTGTTGTTATCTGGGTTTGGGAATGAGTCAGCTGCACGAAGCTGAAATGCCAATCTATTTCCTTGTTGGATTGCTTGGCAAGGCTATGACGCCAATACAAAAATAGTCTGGTATCCAAGTGTGTTTTCTTCTCGTTCATCTTTCTTCCTTTTGCACCGTTGTGGTGCCACCACACATACATTTGTGAAAGCTTACAAAAGAAACACTAAATGACTCAGATATGTAGAATAGAACAGCTATTCCAGGAAAAGCTAAACAAACTCCAGATTATTTAAATAGTGATTGTGGAATATCTTTAGAATGAAGATTGAACACTTGTCTGCGCACTATATAGGTGAAGGATATTCACCACTTCCAACTAATCTGATCGTGTATCTTACATTGCCACCAACTTCCTGTTACCAGTGTATTTTTCATATTTACTGACTGAATTTCTGTGTCATATATCTGAGGTAGAGTTGGTGTCTGGATCTTCGACTGACCTGTGCCATGTTGGTGATGAAAAATGGAAGCCAAGCGCTGAAGAAGAGTCCAAGAAGAACTCCCAGTGTCAGACTCGCCTTCAGTGCCCTCCGACCCTGCCTGTGGGCCAGACGCCGCTCGCTGTTCACTGATGGCTGTGGACAGAAAATTTAAAATACATGTTTTTCCTCTTACCTATAGTGATACTTATCGATCTGGATTGTTTGGTTTAAACAGTGGAGTGTTGAAAATACCCGTAGTAGACATGTCTGCCTTCTCTCTTATATAATGGAACTAGATGGCACTCGGCTTGTTATGTTGTTGAACAAATAATCTATTGAAAACTAAACAGTAATGCCACTTTCCAGAAATCCTGACCCAGTTACTGAAGTTAATTCGCAGAGCTTTTTGTGATCAGTTTGATGTAAGAACTATTTGCTTTTCTACCGAACTACACCCTCCAACTGTATCACTGTGCGGAAGGAAGCAAGAGGCTTCTGCTCAAGTTACATTTAGCAGTTCGTCAGAAAGGAGAGCCCTGTCTGGCTCTGTTGGGATTGGTCAAACGCTTAAAGATGTCCCGCCCCTTAGCCTTTCACGTACAATGATTTGGTGCGCTAGCCTATAGAAGTGTTATATAGTGATGTCACTATGTGACATAAGTAAACAAAGGAGTCCTTTCGAGGTGTTTCAGGCAGGGGGGAGTGTGTGGGTGAGAAACTCCCTCTGGTGTGAACTTTGGGATTCTAGCCTTTGCAGACTATTACATTGACAAAAACCTATATAACACACTAAAGGAAAGGGACAACCCCAAAAAGCATACAAGGGCCCATTTAAAGTTTGAGTGGACATTGGAAATACCAAAAGATACCAAATATGTCAGGCCTAATCTTTGGGGAAACATGTAGCCTATAACATAATGCACAACATGTCTAGAATATAAATGTCCTATTGATGGAATGGTGCACTACAAAAGGTTTGAAAACCCGTCTTTAATGAAGAGTTGTAAAGCCTGATACAGAATATTTGTAATGAACGAAAGAATGATTTGATTGGGAAAAATCAGGATGCTAAAAGTCAAGGTGTCAAAATGAATCCGAGGATATGAGAACTTGTATGTGTGTGTGTATGTTTTGTATGCAGGCAAATGTGACAGACTGTGTGGCTGTGATCCTTGCAGACGGGGGCAGCACATCTGACACACTGTCTGTACTTTTCTCTCTAAGACTTTGGCACCGGTTTGACACCACTTCCCTTTCACCGGATTTATTTTCATCATTTTAATAAAGGAAGAGAAAAAAAGGCTTTTTTATCTCTTCGACATTGACTTACGTTGAGCGTATCTCTTCTGATTCTTTTTACAGCCTGACAAAGATGAATAGGTTAGGATATTTGCCATTTCAACTGACTCATTTATGACTAAATAGCTTCTTTGTATTGACAGTTAACCTCAACCATGTTAAACACAATGTAGTTTGTACGAAACACACAAAAGGTTTTGGCCAAGTCATTCTTAATTTCAGATATACTTTCAAATGATTCCCAGGTCATTTTTAAATCAAGCACATCTGGAAAGTCAAGTGCGTCTACACTAATAATTTAGGTCTCGAAGAGAGTAAAAAAAAGCAAAGGGCTGGCAAAAAACAGCTTTCAAAGAGCGTCCCTGAAGTGTTTTCTTCCACATTTGAAGCATGCATAATCATAACATTTCCAGGTTTACAATTGCTGCACTTAGATGATATTGAACCAAGCAGTGGATTTCATCAGTATAATTGGCATTTTAAGGAAATGGCATGGATAGTATTATGTCAAACCTTAAATGTCAAGGAAAAGACAAGATTGAGAAGAGTTGGAGAACCGTAATTTGCCTATTATCTTTGTGCCATCTGCTCCTCACAGAATCCACCTTTTCATCTCCTACTCTCATCACGGACTGCTTAAAGGCCAGTCTACTATTGTTTGTTATGTTCTTTTGATGAAGCAGGAGGCAGCAATCTGGAAGGCGATGATGATGAACAGGTACTTACGTTTTCTCAGAGAGTGTTGAGGATTGTATTCATTGTTCTGGTCACACACTAATCACTGCCTTGGCTGGTTTGTTTAACTGTTTGGTATCTCATTTTTCTTACCGGTACATTTTGTGACACTGGAGGTTCCTGGTGACTGCAGTCATCCCCGTCGTGCTGAGCGTTCCCTCCATCAACCCCAGGTGAAGGAGGCCTGAAAGGTTCCCCTAGAGAGGGATGCGGATGCGGCGGGTGGCTCAATGCGGCAACCCTCTTTGCCTGCCTCCGCGCTGCTAGAAGGATCCGACAGTAAGTGAAGCAAATGGCACTGGAGGGCAAAAAGAAGGTGAGTACAGACCCCACAAAGGCAAAGGGCAGGGTGACCTGCAGGCGGCACTGGAAGGAAAGGCCTCCAGACGGTGACAGTTGAAAGTAGGATGAAGGATACAAGGTGTCAGAGTAAGAACTCATGTTGCTACTGCTGACCCCAGGAGCTGGCAAGTGTCCGCTCCCATGGCCCAAGCTGTGCCATTTCATCTCAATGGGCAGGAAGGAGGCCAACGCTGCCAACCCCCATGCAGCTCCTACCAAGAGCAAGGCCCGAGGTGGGGTCATCCTCTGCTTGTAGCGCAGTGGCGAGATGATAAAGATGTAGCGATCCAGGCTGATCACGCAAAGGTTGAGGATGGATGCGCTGCAGCACATGACGTCAAAGCAGAGCCAAATCGGGCAAAAGGCAGGCCAGAGCACCCAGGAACCGCACAGGACGTTCAGCATGGCGGGGGGCATGACCACCAGTGCCACCATGAGGTCGGACAGGAACAGAGAAACAAGGAAGCAGTTCGAGGTGCAACGCAAAGAGCGATGGGCGAACACCACTGCGATCAGCAAAATGTTACCGCAGATGGTCATGAGGATGATGACGGTCAGCATGAAGGCCAACAACCAGGGGCCGCTGCTGGTGATGTTCCAAGCACTGGTGGTGGTAACGCTGCTGTTGTAGTGAGAGTCAGCCATGGTAAGGCTTGGCAATGAACTAACTCCTGGACGTTCCCTTTCAAGCGCCACTATATGCCACGAACCTTAACCAGTTCTCCTTTGCGTCAAAAGGTACATTCTTGAAGAAACAGAAGCCATTGAGGTCTTGTGTTGAGATGCCTTCAAACCATTTCCTTGTCCATTGGTAAATATCTCCATCTCTGTTTGCCAGGAATACATCCAGGGGCCGTGGGCTTACTTCCACTGCCACTAGTATCACAGTTTCACTTATCTCTCCATCCTGGCCAGCATGTCCCTGCCTCATCCACAGCTAAGAGCCAGAATGAGCCATTCGATGGCTTACAGAGGGTTTCGAAGCAGCATGTCACACTGATGACAGGCATTGGAGGAGGGCACACAGAGAGATAAGGCATAAGAGAGCTGTGCCGGTGAGAGGAACTATTGAAGATGAAAAGAGCAAGGACCAATTCTCAGAATGACGTTCTCGCCTATAGAAGTGGGATTGTAAAGCTTCCGCAAGACCTTCGCTAAGCCAGAGCTCTGCTGCCTTTCACAAATCCTTTTATTCCTGGAGACAGCCTGGTGGGAGCGGGAACAGAGACAAAACTGTGCAGCGGTCATTTGCAAGCCAGGCTCTGTTCATAAGTGCTCTACAGGTATCATAGTCCTTGTACCGCTTCCTTTATATTCCTCGCTCCAGATAATCCCTGTGTCGGCCACTCCAGCGCGCCTGCCAGCCTGAGCGCACAGCTTTTGAGAAGGAGCGTGTCAAAGCATTGAGCTGTTAATGCATAATCATGCACATCACAGCCAAGAAATGATCATTATTAAGCATAGGAATTGGTGTAGTGGGTCTTTTTTCTATGTTTGGTCATGGTGTTTTTGTCTACTAAGGTACAATAGCATGGCATATTTGTCAGGCTTCACTGATGGCTTATTTCTACAAAGGTAGAATTTCTCTGAAATGTTGCATTCTTACTGCTTTTGTTTTAATTGGTACAATTTATAGACATATTAAGTGTAGACTACTCCATGTGAACACATATTTTAACTAATAGATATCCCCACTAAACCTCCCGAATTGATTACTTACATTAAGACAATTATTCTATTATTATTATGCAGGTCTCCCTTGAAAAAGAGATCGTTGATCTCAATGGGATTTTTTAACCTGGTTAAATAAAGGCTACAAACAAACAAACATTCTGAGTATTGGAAGTTTTCTGTAATGTTATGATTAAATATGAAAATGAGGCTTTACCTTAAAATGTGCCAATTTGCATACATTACCGGGCCAGACATGTGAAAATAGAATGCAGCCAGGTTCAACATTGTTGATTCACTTTGTTCACATATAACATTCTAAGATTGTTTTAATGTCTTTTTGGATCACTTGATGAATCAGAAAATACTGTCAACAGTTTGCCATGTTTTTAGGAATAAAATGTTCTATAAATCAGATGTTTTTACATGTAGTGTCTCATTTTAATAATTCACAAGATTGAATCACAATTAGGCTTTTTAGCACTACCGTCCTTGCCAATGTCAAATACTTATGCAATCAATTATTTTGCATATTATAATTGCACTTAATTTGCAAGATTATGTCAAGCTTTGTTTCCATTGTTTCGTCTTTTTGCGTTCACTGTGACCAGGTGCCCATTTATCAACTGTTCATGAAATATTTTTCAGTGACTCATAATTACCGTTGATTAACAAATTCACACTCCTGTGTTCTAACAACTCAGAAAACAACAGACACTTCACCTTGTTCCTACATCATTCTCAATCCAAATAATAATGATTAATTTCCCAGCAGGAGCACATGAATAGAAATTATCATAAAATAAAAGCAATTGATTGGGTAAAACCATGTGCGCATCAGCCTTTCAATAGCTGTGTCAAATACTAAAACATAAAATACAAAGCTCTCCAATTTCCGTGCCCCCTCAGAACTGACTAATTTCCTCCGTTGCTTCGCTCTTGTCATCTGTCACATCAGAGCGACTGCTGCCAACCTTCTGACCCCATCTCACCCACCACCTTCTGGGACAGCGTTTGCATCGCTATCCCCACCTTCCTCCACAAACCTTTCTCAGAAAATACTCCCACTAGCATTCGGAAATAAACGGAAAACACATATTTTCAAAGCTGCATTTAATGTGTATACAATCTTGTTATAGTACATTATGTTACTATGTTTGTTTTTTAACTTAGTTGAATGGGATTTTAAAATGGGTTTCACCCAAAATCAACCATCGGAGAAAAACATGAATCAGCAGGGCATCATTTTTGTGGTTATTATTATTTTATTAAACATACTCAGACTGTCCTGATCAGGCACATACACATCATACATACTGGGACGGATCGTTCAACAGAAAGACAAGGATCTTAGTGTAGAACAGTGCAAATGGTGACTCTCAAACAAAACAATAAGGTCCAAACAAAAAAAATCCCTCGATGACATACAGCTACTGCTCCTGTTAAAGAAAACAGAAAACAGCCACATAAGCATTGATTGGCATAAACAATGACACAGTGTAATGATAGTAGAGTTAAGGAAAAATGTGTATTTTTAGACCAAACAAACCTTTTCGCTGCTGTGCAGCATATAAAATGACCTCAGGTCATTCTGACAGTTGGCATATGCCATGCCGAGTCCTGTTCCTGAGCCAAATGAAATGGGCCAGGTGTGTCCTACAAAAGAAACCGATACTTTATCCCTTCCCAAGCACAGTGGTATAAAAAAACATACCATAGATTATTACCTTTTTCATTTAGCGTTCATTTAAGTGTAATAAACCATGAAGATACAAACATATAGGTACATTTACTTGAAATAAGCCAACCCACTGTAAGTGCTGGTGCATTAGTTTTAATTAGCTGAATCCCTTTACAATATTTTTTAGTCAGGTTTAAAACACCCATGTTTTTTTGTTTGATGGCCAAGGTGCAAGCGAAAAAGGTGGATTTTTAGTCTTTTGAGCTTAATTAAAACTTTAAGATACAGCAACAATTATTTTGAAATACTTACGTTTAAAGAAGAGAACAGAAAAGACGATTCCTAACCCCAGACCAGTGCCTGAAAAGGAGGGGGAAAAACAGTTATGACATGGAAGGAAGGCAATGTAACTTTGACTGTTCAATTAAAACGCATCTTTATTTATCTATTGCATGCATGCTGACTCATTCTGACTCGGACTTATGGGCATTTACATAATGTATTCTATATTTTTCATGTAGCCATGACACAAGCTTTGTTGCTTTGTAACGCAATACCTTTTTACAAATAGCCTATGTGGATAAAATGTAAATCTCATTCTGACAGTAGGATGGCGGGAAGTGACGTCAGAGTATTTCCCCCATATTTTTGTCTGAAACTAGTCAATGTTAGGGTGACGCAGAGGCTGCAGAGCCGTGGCGCTGGGGTGACGTTTCCTCTCACTGTATCGAAGACTACACCGTTTCAGTACCTCACTATATGATGCTGTGTCAAATACGTCACACAAAACTCCGTTCATATATCTGTTATATGTCATCCCACTCCCTGACGCAATTTCTAAAGGGAGCTATTACCTAAAACATTTTACAAAGTTTGCATGGTATTACAATACATGTTTTATATATATATGCCGAATTCAGGAGTGGGAACTGTTACATCGTAAAACGTAATTGTTTAACGTTAGATTAACATTGCGTAATGAAATGCACAAGAAAGCATCTAGTTATAATTTTCTGAATGGCGCTCCTACTTCTTTCTAACAACATCTAAGTGAAACCAAAGAAATTACGACTAACCGTATGGTAAACTCTAATGAAACTAAATTGTGTCTATAAAATAAATAAGTCGATATGGTCACTCGGGTGTCCTTTACAAGTCCTCTACTAGCTAGTAGTTAGCCTCTCGCCCAGTCAATGACAGTAGTGGACTACAGTAATAACTGTAGTTTATTTGGTCTTAAATCCGGGACATACAGTGTAGTTAAAAGGGGAATACTCTGAGATATTTACCGAGTTTAATGGCACCGTCTGCCAGGCATCGGTCCCACTTTTTCCCCAGCTCCTTCTCAGACATGCTGCACAGTAGCTAGCTCCTTTCAAGTGTCAAATGCATGCAGCTCTGGTGATACATTCAAGTGCTATTGGAAATATGGGTTTTCCTATTATTTTAACGGAGGGAAAACGGGATTAAATGCATGCATTGTTAGGCCTTATCTGTCAAAGTGGGAAATGAAAATGTTATTCACCAGCTTGATGTTGTTGATGAAATATATGAGGGGAAAAAACACCCTTTAAAAGGCTAATGTTCGTTTATGTATGTACGTGAACGCACCATTACACCATCTTGCAAACCTCGCGATGACTTTAACACCATCTTGCAAACCTCGCGATGACTTTAAAACTAAAGCGGCTGGATGTCGCCACCTTGCGGTAAAGAATAGAAAGATAATTCAGTCATTTCTATGTTATGGCAACGACAACAAAATCACAAAAACAATATATTTTATTTTCTGAATGAAATATCATTTGACACAGATCAGTACACCGTCATGAAGTCATTACAGCATGTTCATGTTATTAACACTGATTTCCTGAGATGACAATACACAATTGACACAAAAAGTGCGCAAATATTTGATATCCATTACACAAAAACTTGACAAGTTTTAAGATTGTTACCATAAATAATGATGAGCCATCAGCTGGGCCACCTTATATATGAATTCTACAAACAGACGTATTCAATTCATTAAATGATAAACAATCACATACAAATGATTCACTTTTTGCAAACCGTGTGAAAAAGCCAAAACTCATCTGGTTGGCAGAGTGATTTTGAAGCACAGCCTTTTAAAATAGTGAACACTACAAGTTGGCTTCTTTATGGACTTCAAGTGGACTCATATGAGGGCTGGTTATGAGTATTTACACATCGTGATTGTGTGAGAACAGCAAAGGGGCACCAAAGAGGTAGAAACGGTGTCCTTGAGGAGTAAATATATCTTTGGCCAAAAACAAAATAAATCCCCTTTTACTGACTTTACTCCCCTAAACGTGAATCTTAGGCTAGCCACAATTGAATACTTGTAAGTGATAATACACATACTGTACATATGACACCAATAGCTATTGTCCAGGTACCTCCATGTAAGTGCACCTGATAGCCAGGATGTTGTGTTTAAGTGGACTCCGCTACAAAAAATATGCTGCATTCCATCCTATGTAAAAAAATAATGTAGTGAACACAGTCAATAGATCATCCACCCTGTCTCCTTGTCCTGAAGCACTTGCCCCACCCACAGTTCACACTGAAGCTGCTCTGATCACTCGTCGGACTCTGGTTGAGAGGACTTTTCTTCTTCTGCTACCGCTGCTGCTGCTGCTGCTGGTGGTGGTGGTGGCTGGCTGTTTTCTTCTTTCGCTGCCTTCACAAAGCTCTTGCTGAAGGTCATGAGATCTCGAAGCTCTTTGTTCTCAATCTGAACGAGACAGAATAACCATAGATTTATGGGAAAATGTCCAGATGGAATTATTGAGAGGTAAACAAACAATCAAATCAAGTAATAATGATTAGTTTATAGTAGGGATGCCAGAAACTGACCATGATCAAATTCGAAAATCGGACAGCCCTGGTGAATATTAATCGATTATTCGCCGCCCGCGAATAATACTATTACTATTATTAGCATTAGTCTATATTTTGGTTGAAACTAAGCCAGGAAAAAAAAGAAAAACATAAATAATAATAAAAAAATATATAAATAAAATCGAATTTTAAAAATAATTTTCGATTATGGAGACTGCAACGAATATTCGAAAAATCGAATAATCGCTGGCATCCCTAGTTTATAGCCCTAGACTTTACATGCTGCTTAGCTTCAGAGTCACCTACGCCAACACGGAAAATGTTACTGCTCCGAAGCAACAATGTTAGCTAGCTAAAACCTGCTACAAAATGGAAACAGTTAACGTTAACGTATATAGAGAAGTGCATTGAAAAGGACGAATCTTTGTAATGCACTTAGCAGAGCTTTGTAAAGATGAAGTTTGACAATCAATGTTGCTCAGAATATGGAAGGATGCAGGAATGCAGTAGAAAAATACTAACTACCGCTTCAGCAGCACTACAACACAAATAATGAAATGGGTCTTGACACAAAAATAAATAAAGTCTTAAGTGGTCACAATTGTGAAACCACTCTCCAGAGCCAACCAGGAAAGTAGAGCAACATCCTTGCCATGGTAAGCAACACAGAGACAGTATCAGTGTGTATTTCTAGCTAAACCTCCCCATACAAAATATTGATTCACTCAAAAACAATCATGTTAAGTTGTTCCTGATTTTAGAGAAGCACTTACCTCTAGTTGAGCGAGCCTCTCTCGAACAGAGCAGTAGTGCTGATCGTCCACCTGCACCGCTTTTCTCATCACCTGACCCATCTCGCATATCCGCTCCACCTGGTTCTGCACTTCCTGGAGAACAGACCAAAAACTAATTGTTTTACCAGTTTTAGTACAACTTTAGATTTAGATTTAGTCCATCCATTTAGATTCCTAACCAAATGAGAACATTTGAAAACAGCAAGGGTACCTTAGCGTGGTTCTCGTGGAGGTTGAGCACAGGTTTGGTGTCCAGCTCCTTCCTGGCCATCATCAGCTGGAGCATCTGCTTGCGGTAACGACCCATGATCAACTCTAGTGCGTACTGGTGTTCTTCAAGAGATAACCATAGTTCTGCAGGGAAAGTCGAGAACATTTTTAGCAAAGATATCAAAACAATAGCTAAAAAATGAACAGGATGAAGTGTATTTTGGTTATTTTTTTACCTTTATTCTCCTGCTGCAGGTCCTTGATTTGAGTGTTTTCCTGAGACAGAAGGACATGAGGCTTGTATTTTGTCAGCTCCTGAATCTCTGAAGCGTCTTCTGTATGCTAAGAGGAGAGAAGAATGATGAAGAACAGAAAGATGTGTTGCTTTGTTATAATTTGTTGTGAGATAGAGGAAAATATAAACTCAAAAACAAATTACAAAAGGATTTCATTCTTAAAAAAGCAGCATTTACTTATTACAATATCAGTATGATAAGGTAAACTGGAACTAGTGAAATGCTCCATAGGAGGCAGGCATACACATATACAAAACATTTATGATAAAGCTTTTTGAAAAATGTATGGTGTTTGTGTAAACTGGGCAACAAAATTGCTCAACAATGAGCAATTTATTTCATCAAGAGATGCTTTTATGATTGTTTAACATTATCAGAAGAAGCATTTGTGAAATTGTGGGCTGTTAGTTATATTGTATGAATGTTTTCTAGAATGAATGGGTCAGTGATACAGTTGGAGATCAGGAGTTTCTGTTGCACCATTTCTGTGTGTTTGCCATTGAGCAGTACAGCACTTCAACTTCAACTCTGATTGTGGAAATAATCGTCCTTACCTTGTCTGGAATGGCATTTCCCACCTCTTTCATGCCCTGCACTCTCTGGTTTAAGGCCCCAGACTGCTCTATCAGCCCCTCAGCGGCCGTGTCGTGCTCTTTCAGCCTCTCGAGAAGTGTCCGGGCATCCCCCAACACTTTCTCCAAAGTGCAGGCCATTTCTGGAAACTGACAGCTCCTGTGTGCAACGTTAACAAGCTACTCGACACTGCAAGAGGGATTGAAATACTTCGCAGTGTTAGCTTTGGTTGCTATCTAGCCTTAACTAGCCGCGGCAGCTGCAATGCCTTTATAGCGACGTGTACAAGCTATTGCGGGCCTTCGTTAATATTTGTCGGAATACAGATTAAGTACAGTATAACAAATAAAAAGTGGTCTTTCTGTGTTGTTGTCAAGTGCGCCGTTTCCGTGTGAGACTGGACAAAACGTCACGTCCGCCTCGTCTTCTTCGCTTTACATAAAAGGAAACCAACTTCAGGATAGATACCGCCATCTACTGGACAGATTAAATGGAGGTTTGAAACAGTTAAAACTGGCAGATTTATTTAACCTGTGAAAAACCATGGTTATGATTAAAATAAAAAGTGAAAAAACAATGCTGCTGTACAGGAGGGGGAGCATTTTATTTAATTTTTTATAAATTCTTATAAAAATGTATGTCTTGTAATTGCACTGTTGAGGAAAACTGTGACCAAAGTTTTTCATTCATTGCATAACTATACCGTAGTTGTGTATATGACATGACAATAAATCTTTGAATCTTGAATGAATACCCAGGTAACTTTGTAAAAATCCAGACTAAAAGATGTAGAAATGTATGAAATTGAGGCTTTAAAATATCTAAATTGAAACCAATGAACTTTATAAACTGCCTGCAGACAAAAGTGTGCATTTACAAAAGCATTAATTGTATTCCTAATGTATTGTCTCACCAATATGTCCACGGTGAAAACGTTCATGATGTGTTAAATGTGTGGTTGTTTTTTTAACTTTCCATTGCTGTGTACGTGCCATTGTGTCATAATCATAGACTGGTCATAATGAATGGTACCTCACTTTTTATCCATGACTTTGTTGATGCTTTTGCTATCTTGCCTGCCTCTCAAAAATACGATCCTGGTAACAACAAAATAAAGTATACTTTATTTATTCAGGAATTCACATTGAGATTTAAATCCCATTACAAAAAATACCCTAATCCCACAGAATAACAAAAACATTCATACTAAAGATACATTATAATATTGAAAATGGTATTGATAAAAAAATATATGATACAACAGCAAATATATGCATATCCTACATATTATGCAGATTGTGACATTGTTGTAATCCTTCTTGTAGGTATAACATAGCATTTAAACCTATCATCTAAAACAGTCACAGTTTTTCAAGAGAACCGTAAAAATGTTTGTATTATTATTTATTGAGATGTCAACACAATTTAGAATTAGTTGATGAACACGTTAAATCAACAATCAAACGTATACTGGGCATATTAATTAGTTGAGGTATTATCAGAATTTCAATTCTCCACAGGTTCATTCAATATTATCAAAAGAGTGAAGCAATAGGTGAACGTCCTTAAATAACATTTCTCTTACAATCGATGTTGTTCTTGAACACACTCCCAAGATGCAACGTGTGGCCTCAGAAACTCTACTACGGGAGGAGAACAGTACTGTCGGAAGATTAAATGAGATAACGAGTCCAGTTGTCTGGATACAGGGAAATTCCCTGTATCCAGACAACTGGTCCAGTTGTCGAAATATAGTATTCCCTGAGGGAATACTGTATTTCGAGCAAGTCAGCGCGTAACTGTCTGCTTTCTAGTCAAGATAGTAAGTCATAGAACATATTCCCATCATGATCATAGACATATGCCCAGTTCTCGATGGATCATTGCGAGACAGCAATAACGGTTAGTCATCCCTCGCTCAGCGGCAGTGGCCACTCTTTTATTTCCAGGCTCTCTGGACATCCCAACGTTCTGAAATATCGCGGTATCTGCCTCCCTAATCACTACGTAATGTGCCGTGCTGCTTCTAGCGGCGCTGGTGACAGTGCTGAAAGCTGTTGGGGTAAGTTTTTATTAATTATACAGCTTGATATTCCTTTTCGAACATGGGTTTGAACTATGTCATTGCAACGTGTAGCTTTCTCATCCAGCGGGCCTTTAAAATTGAACAGGGTATGAAGCACTTTGTAATACGCAGAGCTCGGGCCTGGGTGGGGGCAGCCTTATTTTTCCTCACCATAAATCACCACACAAGGACCAGCAGCATGCTAGCTAACTGTAGCCGCTATTAGCCTTTTAGCACAGTGAATGGTTTAGCAACATTGTTAACAATACACAAAAGTAACTTTGTATTTCTAAAATAAGTAATGCTACCAATGAGACGACACGTGTGAGAAACAAATGGCTGTTAGTGACAGACGCGGTGTAATTGAGGACGAGACTCTTATCGCTTGTCATAGCTTCTTTGTTGTCCCGTCCTCGTGCCGTTAGCTCCGATTACGTTATCTTAATGTTATTTGTGTATGTACAGGATAAACTCTGATATAGACATTTGTATTTCACCCTGAGTTCAAATATATTACAGTTCGTGGCACCTATAATATCCTAAATAAAGGTCCGGTCTTTCCGTCGCCAGTCGCTTTCTTAGCCACCAGTCCAAACCCTCCTTCTGTCAGTCTAACCAAATTAATATTATAATGTGTTAACGTTTCTTGTTTTCGGAGGGCAGTGCGCGGTGCTACCCAGTTCCACAAAATAGGACTTTTATTAAAATGTATATCCATAACTATTTTAGTGACAGCTACCAAATTAAACGCAATACCCAGGTGCTAGTTAAAAGCCTCACGTATACCTCTACCACGTTTTAAATACTTTAAAATTAGCTAAAAATATTAAAAAGACAGTTTTTGGTTTGGAACTTTTGTTTGATTTTCTTGGTGTACAAGAATAACCTGATTGTGTGCTTACTTTCCGTTAACTTTTGACCAGACTACAAGCCACGTTACTTGTGATATGAGGCAATAACTAAAATGCCTAATTTGCTAACTATTTAAGCTAACCTGTGGCCTAATGAGCATGTCGCAGTAAATTAATTTAAAATTTAACAAAGTCGGAAACGCCCGGGGGTACTGGCTGTTTACGACTTTAGCGTTAGCTGGATGCTAATCTGTGTGGTTGTTTGTCCACACAAGGTCATTAAGCTGATTCATACTTATCTGTTGTGTGCGTTGGTTTGATTTACAAGCAGTATACGTGTGAAACAAAACCAATATTCGATGTTTTAGTAGGTGATTTAGAGTTTGAGCTGTGTTTAGCTGCTAGCTTAGTTGTGACGTTTTCTACATCGTTGCATGCCGCAACGTGTTGGATCAGGCCTTATTAGTGGTTCCTGCAGAGGATAGCGGATTGCTAGGAAGTCACATGGTTGGTACTGTCAGGACGGCTGTTGTTCGGGCCCAGACCAGGGACGCGCCGTCTGCCTTTTAATAGGCCGTACTGTGTGGTCCTTTTTTTTTTTTATTGTTTAATGATTAAAGTGTACTTTTGTTCTTAAACGGCCAATCGGTGCTGATGGTTTAGTGGGTGGAATGTTTTTTTGCTCTCTTCGCGTCGTCAAAAGCTGAGAAGGAATAACAGAAAAGCACGTCTTCCTTGAGGTTGTTTTCCCTGAAGAATTGCCCCTTTTCATTACTCAAAAACCTTTACCCCACTTAACACATCCTTTTTGTGATAACTAGCTTCTCTGTTTGTTATATGACTGGGTATATGATTTATCTGAGCCTTGCACATGTAAACAAAACACAAGTGACATTGTTGCTTAATCCAGATTTTAGATTTAGATATGAATATCCAGGAGGCTGTTTCAAAAATACAACAATCTCCCTATTGCTAGGAATCTGATTTGACATTTATATGACTTTTTTTTTAAATAACATCATTTGAATGTTTCGGGAAGTGCGTGGGATGAGTCATTGCGACACACTCGCAGCAGAATAGATATCATGTGTCCTGGGTTGGTTCACCCAGCTTGTTTTCAAAGCTGCTGCGTATTTAGGTCAACAACACGCACTCTAACCTACTGATGGAGATCAGTCTCTGATTTTCAAATTTAAAATGTATGCACATGAATGTAATTAATCTATTAGCTTGTAGGGCCTCAGAGACACACTGAACATTTACAATAAGTGTGCAACAGTTGATAGTTGAAGTACAAAACAAGAGGGCCCTGGTCAGAGATGGTGCCATAAATATCATGGCATGAACGGAGGTATGCACTAAGGCTTGCTGACCCTAACCCACAGCTACTAGCTTTCTGGCATTTCCAGGCATCTGAGGATAACCTTTTTTACATACATGTAATTCTGTGGCAAGAAATAGTGATTTGAAAAACTTCAAGCCACTGGCCCAACTTTATTTTTCTTATCAGTTAACAGTAAAATAATTAAATGTATTTGTGTCATTGCAGACACATGGAGAACTAAGGCATTTGGTCCTTTCACTCTTGATGTTTTTGTTATGTTGATGCCTAAATTCATCCGTTCTGCCCAGCTAACCACATTTTCTTTTTTCCAACAGTATGAAGTGAAACGGAACTGAATTTTTGTACCATCCGCAACTGCTTCAAGTTCAGATCATAACAAAGAAACTGAAGATAAAACTCCCAAAACAAAAGCAAAGTTGCAACACTGAAGACGCATAGAAAACCAACCAACCGATCACTTCAAGGGTTTAAAACGCAAGAAGTAACCAAATTCTGAAACGACCAAAGAAGACGCCCATCAGCCCAATTGAAACGCAACAGAGAAGCAAACCTATGCCCAAGCATATTCTGAGAAGACTAACTGATCTGAAACCAGAAGTTTGTGCCTACTCAACAGCTTTGACAAAGCACACGTCCCAACGCTGCTCCTAGCCCTCCTCATCCTCACCACATCACCGACTCACCACCGGGGTGTGGAGTGGGCTGCTACCTGCTAGTTTTATTTCCCCCCCATAGTTCCCCCCCTCTTTTCCTTTTCTCGACTCTACTGTTTTCATTGTACATTTCCTTTTTTTACAGCAGTGTTTATGCACCTGCGTTTGCCTTTTTTCTGCTAGATTTCTGCCCCTCTTTTTTGTTTTTTTGCTTTATGCAACCATCTAGAACTTGTGCCAGAAACCTGTAACAAGTGTGTGTGCGTGTGTGTGTTCAACTGTGTGCGTGAAGAGATCTGCAGAAACGGCAACATCACTGAGATCCTGAGAATTACAAGAGTAAACGCAACGAATAAAGGTGGGTGTCAGTTATTATTCCCTTCATAACATGAGGCCTGTCATGTTAACGAGAATTGTACTTTTAAATTAATTAACTTTTGATTTCATTTGTCATGTTTTGAATGATCCCCCTCCCCAATATGCTGAATATATTTCCCTTTATCGGGTTTAAC